CCCCAAAACCCCAAAACCCCATAAGACTGAATATTTTAGTTAGTAAAATTTTAAGTCATTTTTCATATTAATATTGAGATATTGTTCAAAAATTATTAAAAGAATTTGGTTATAAAACACCTTTTCAATAGCCGTAATTTAACAGAAATTAGTCAATTATTTTGTTGGAGTCATAATTTGTCCTTTTTATATTCATGTCTTCATCTCCTAACTTCTCATTATCAATCAATGTGAATTGTTTTTGTTATGTCTGTAATCTTTCTTTAAATTACTTTCTACAGATATTACTAATGAGTTTGAGGTATTTTTAGTGTCTTGTATAAAGAAGTTATGGAAATAATTGCACTCCTCTGATTTGATCATATGAATTTTTTCAAAATGGGAGATATTAAAGGAAGATGTAATTACTCATTCTCTATCTTAATTTATTATTATTGCGTATTGAGATCTCAAGTTTAAATCCTTTTCCTTTTCTTTTTTGAATATTTAATATTTCTAGTTTGCAAGCAGGAAAGTTTATAAATTGAGAAATTTTTTACACTAACAGACTGTCATTGTATAGGTCGATTGTGACTCCATTACTGATAGATTAACTTTATGTCTATCAAATTTTACTATCAGTAGTGTCACACTCACTGATCTTAGACTTCCCAATTTGTCATTATATAAATCCCCTTTAATCTAATCTAATCTTGTTGAATTTAGTCATTTAGCCTCTAAAAATGAGTTTAATTTATGATATTTTCCTTCATCTTCAAGTTAGTTGTCGTCAAGTTGCTAATTAAAGAACACAAGGACTCTGATTCTAAGATAACATCAGCAGAGTTTGCCGATTTTTTCTCAAAGTAGTTTATTATTCTATTATATTAGGAAGGCTCTCACATTTCCTTTGAGTGGTAGTAACTTTAAATGTGCTTTCAGTCAACTAAAATCTTATTCATGTGACAGCATTTTTGTACCAAAGTTAATAATGGTCCTCCTCTAAGAAACAGCAAGTATGCAGTCAATAATTCTCTTCTCAATGATTAATTTCTTGTGGTGTCCTATAATTAAAGTAATTATATTTAACCTGCTCTCATTCTTCACTATCTTTAAGGAGATGCTTTTAAATGTCTCAAATGTGCCTTTTCATAGCATTAGACACAGATCTAGATGGCAATAAACTTCACATCCATTGGCTATCTCATCAACTTTCTCTGTAGAAATATCTCATACTTTGCAATTTGACTTTCTGATAGTTGGCCAAAGTAGTGTAAGGGTGTTTTGTAGTAAAACATAAATAAGTAAGCTCTTAAGATAGCCTGTGGATAGTGGAATTCTTACATTTTATCCTTAGACAAAATTTTTGCTTTATTTGACCTAAGAATTATATTACATCGTTTTGCCATATTTACATTTTGTTACTAATCCAGAGATATTCTTAATAATTTAATCTACCATACTGACTCCTTCGATATCTTGTAAGTTTTGTATTCCATATCCTCTTTCAAAATCTAAGTCTCTAAGTCTTCGTTTTGCTCGTTAGAGGTAATATTCTGGATTAAGTTGTAAAGTACCCACGAAATATGAAAAATAATGCTAATTATCAGTCTCAATTAATGAGTCATCTGTAAACACAAAGAGTTTGTTTTAAACTGTTAGAAATTATTATAGTACTGGATTTAAGAGCATAATCAAGGTTTAAGCTAAATAGGAAGAGTGATGAAGAACTTCTTTAAGCAAATCCCTTATTGCATTGAATTTTTCTCAGCATAACTGATTTTGGATTTTAATTTGTAGACTTTGAAGCAATGATTGTGAAAAACTTGTCTTCACTGTCGTAGGTTATTTTAATGACTTTAATTAGATATACATTTCTTCACTACTCTTATTCCTTGGAATGCTAATGAGTTAAGAATTAGGTCATTCTTTTTGCCCTCTTTGAATCCAGATTAATAATTATATGTCTTGATAAGAGAGCTTTCAAATTCTTTTAGTTTCACTGAGATACTTTTTCTCAATTATTTTTGTGCAATGACCCCAAATAATAAAATGACTCATGTTTACTTTATTCAGGATTATCATTATCCTTTGATAGGAGAACTATTTTTCTTTGATTTAAGTACTAAGGAATCAAAACTGTGTTAATCCATTAGATTAATGCTTCTATGAATGTAGATCTTAATTCAGGAACTATAAAGATTATTCGGTCAAAACAATCTGAGCCTAAAATTTTATAAAAGTTGCTTTATAAGAGCCCTTATTCAATATCTTCCAACATAAAAAGGCAATTATTCCTATATTGTTTGGAAACATGTCTAATAATGCGTTTGGTACATATATAATAAATTATTATACTTAAACATTCTTACCTTAATCAAGCATTGGCTGATGTGCATTTTCATGTCATTGTCACTTAATTTATAGGCAGCTGATTGAATAGCTGAGTTTCGATATAATTTTAGTAAGAAAATTCTATCTTAGTCCAAGAGCCTCTTAAAATTTAGCATTCAGTGATATTCTGTTTTCTATTTGCTATATTTTCTGGCTTTTAGAATGCCAGAGTAGTTGAAGTTTGGATGAGATTGGGGATAAGTAAAATTATTATTAGGTAGTCAACAGCTCCAACTAAATTCTACTCTCAAGCAATGAGTATATTATCGAGAGAAAGTCCTACTAGCTACAGAGTAATGGGGGTTCCATCGGCCACTTCCTGCAACACATAATTATCAGATATCTTAATTTATAGTCCATAGGTATTGCTTTTATTGGATATATAATCAGGATTCTTAGTCCTTTTAATAGAGAGGTTTAATGTTTGGCCTATCTAGCATTCCCCTCTGAACCATTCTGTGAGTTAAAGCATAATATTCTTCTAATCCTATGCAAATAGAGTACATTTTAGGATAGTTTGCCCATTAAGTAAGTGAGGAGCAATGGATTTTTATATTCCTACTAATCAAGTGGCAAAGTATAAGTTAAAATTGAGCCTTGAGAAATTAAGTTTAAGTTAGTGAGAGATAACTTGAGATCAACATTATCATTGCCTGCCTCAGTAGATTCTCTAATGAACTTCATTGTAGTAATATTTTTTATGATAAACTTTGGCAGTCAGTATCCTTCGAATATTCCTATGCTTATTACTAACCTAGAAGCAGTAATAGACATCACTTTAATTTATTAATTACGTGGACACTAAAATATCACATTCTTCAAGGCAGTAATCTTTACAGATTATTACACTGATTCAAAGCATTAAGCGACCAAGCAGTAATATGATATACTTATCAGGGTCAGGTTTCCATCTTAGGCTTACGATCATGTCAAAATACTTCCGGAATTGAGTTCTAGGATCTTGAGATTAAATCTTAACTATAATAATTATGAGATTCGAAAATGAAACAGTCTTTTCTGGGAAAGATTTGAATAACTGATAACTTGAAATTATGGCATTTGGAGACTCAAAATTTATTAAGTAGGGAGTGATCTCTCCAACTACTAAATTATTGGTGGCTAAGCAAGGTCTTCTATCAATTATCCTATTTTTGCTTGATCTTGATATGCTTATCATTATCTTTTTTCATACAGGTTAAACTTATGATGGGTTTTAGAAACCAGTAAAAGATAGTGAATAAGTTTGATACCCCAAGCACTTCTGAGCATGGAAAATGCTTTGAATTTTTACATTATAATAATCGCTATCAGATTAGATAATTCATCAGTTAAATGCAAATGAAATTTTAAGATATTTTAGCATTAAATTGATAATGATTCTTAGAAGCAATATAGAATTTTCTATTGTTTGTATACATGAATTACATCTATACGGGGTTTTGGGGTTTTGGGGTTTTGGGG